GACTCTTACTCTTTACACGATCTCCCGCCTAGAACAACGGCATGGACTTGATGGCCGCCACAGCTCCATCGCCGGTTGCGAATCCAGCTGAGGGAGTGGTGACGCTGACATCGCAAACCTGACTCCCCGGTACGGATAACCGTACCTTTCTGCACGGGAATATTGTATCTGGAACGTTGGCCAACCTCATCGAAACTTTCAACAATAGTGGGGGGCGTACAGTACCTTCCGGGCCTTCATGTGGGACCAAAGCGAGCGGGGGGCGCCGTGGAGTGGCGGGGTTTGCTGGCGTGCGTGTGCATACACTCCTTTTGCTTTACAACGTTGTTGTTGCTGTTGTTGTTGTTGTTGTTGTTGTCTTCACATTAAAAACCGTTCCTATCTCTCTCTACCCAGTACCTTCGTATGTCCGTACTGATCCAACAATCGACGCGGTCGATTCCCGTGGTCACAGGTTAACTTACCCTAAAAAGGTACACTCAAATAAACTGGCCCCGAGGGGTCCGCAAGTCAATATAATCAACGACAGATATTCTGGAATCCTCCACTCCCTCTGCGCGCTATGCGAGGTATCAACTGAGACTAGGAGTCACTATCTATCATGGGCCGGAGAGAAAGAGGTACACCCCCTTGGTTCAATCTTGGTTCTTCACAACGCAAGCAGAGACAAGGCTATCTGGCACAGAAAAAGAGAGAAAAAGAGAGAAAAAAAAAAGCGAAAAAGAGAAAAAGAGAAAGAAGAGAAAAAATAAAAAATGGAAACACAACGTGTCGCCTCTCGCAACGCCATCTACCGCACCCACAGCTTCCGTTCTTGCCATATTAAGATGTCAGTAGTAGCGGGAACTCCACGGCTTCGTGTGTCATGCTACATATATCTATACTAGGGTATGGTCCCGTCCCCCCCCCGGGGGAGCGTACTCTTATGTTTGGCATGCCTTAGCGGTTAGACCATTGACCACGCGTCCTCGAGAGGACGGAGCATTGTTCCCACAGGACCGAAATCAAGGAAAAGTGCACTTGTATCGTTTTTAGTGTTTTCAAAAGCAGCGGTGTTGACAGGTAGAACTGAAATAACACATGCATTGTTTTCGCAGACGTGACAAGAAAGAGCTCAAGGGAGCATGGACGGCATCGCCATGGCCAGGGTGCTTGCCTACATTGAGGAATCAAACATTTTTTTAATTTAATTTATTTTCGTCAACAGGCGTAGGTAAGGGGCAACGCGGCCGCGACGAAAGGAGTGGATACTGATGTTCGCGTCTTCGCCCCGGCGACAATAGAACAGAAGGCACCACAGCAGTCGAACCAAAGAAATAAACAATCAACGGTCAACCGATGATGGGACGCATAGGAGGAACTCGGGGCGCAGCAACAGCGCACGTACAATAGCTGAATGCCAATCCGCAAAAAAAAGGTGGCCGCCCGGTAAATACCTGCGACTTTTCCCCGCCACATCCATCCATTCTCACCTGTCCAGCGGCCGCGTTGAAGCTTACCCCGTCGAGGATCCTCCGTCCCGGTCTGCGGACCACACGCATCGAATCGAATCGAACGAAAAAAAAGAAGAGAAGAAAATATAACACATGAAAAGAAGAACGAATCGAACGAACAAAAATACATATACAGTATATAAAAAAAAACGGGTGGTGAACAAGAGCAACGAGAGCCCTCGATAAAAAGACAAAGAGAGAAAAAAGGCACCCCGTGCACCCTCCCTCGACCTCCACGCCGCTTCTTCCGCGATGGTCAACAGTCTCGTCGGGGCCTCCAAGAAATCAACCACGCGGCAGAACACAGCAGTAGGTAACACCTGGAACTACCATGGCGGCCAGACCCCTACGCACGAAACGAAACGAAACGCAACACTCAAGAACCAAGGGAATCACAACAACACAACGACGACCAAACAAAGGAGCAAAAAAAAAAAAAAAGGAAGAGAAGGTACAATATCACCGTGGTACTGCATAAAAAATTCCGTACCAAGTGTTACCTCGCACAACACACCATACCTCGAAGGATACTCGAAGTCCACGCCCTTAAGCTCCACCGCTCCCAAGCACGTCTCCGGCGCCGCTCCTCCTTCCTCGAACGCCGCCGCCGTCGCGTGCCGAACAGATCTCGCCGCTCCCGTTTCGCACGCGGAATGTTGGGACGCGGAAGATGGAGGGGGGGACGCGGACGGCCTGGGCCCCTTGGGCTTCCGCCTGATGAGCTCGAAAACCTTGTCCGCGGCCCCCACCGCCTGTGTCCTGTGGTACATGGACCATGGTTGAGGTCGTTGAACAAACAAAAAAGAAGGTTGCGGGAAGACAGGGGGTGCAAAAAAAAAAAAAAAAAAGGTTGCAGCGGGACCCAGGAACAAAAAGCGGCGGCGCTCGGACAGCGGCTTTCAGAGAAAACACCACACAGCACCCCAACCTATAAAGCCGGGTGGTGGGCATGTTACAGCGGTCGTGCCCACATAGATACACAGATTAGCCATATGCATATGCTCTCGTCGTAGCTAAACCGCGCTGGAGTATTCGGCTCGCGTCTAGAACTAAGCAACGTAACTCCAGATGTGATGAGCCATCCCTCTCGCACACCGGTAGCCGTCACGTGGGGCAGCAATACTTGTGTGCACCTCCACGTACAAACGAACGAGTTCATGCAAGGAACTAAACAGGGCATTGCCGCAAACAGAAGAACACCGCCACGTACATGGAGGAGAAGATGGCTGCCATATCGTTGAAGCCGTCGCTCAGCGAGGTCAGGTAGATCATGAAGCTCACGACCTAAAACAAACATCGGCGCGAAGCGCAACAACGCGGGACGGCGGTAGAAACATGGGAACAGGCCAGGCGATGCCTCGATGTCGGATAATATTGGGACGGCGGATATACACACTATTTTTGCACGATGCGCTAAAGACAACTCGCACCCCAGTTTTCCGTGCAGTAGTTAACTGACCTCCTCGTGCATGCTGTGTAGCTCGTGAGTTCGACTGTCGGAAACACGAGTTTTCCCTTGATTTTTCCCCCCCCCGTACCTTTCCACCCGTAATCTGGCCATCCATCACCAGCTGACCACCATAGAACAGCACCACCGCCGTCACGAGATTGGGCAGCAGCACGTAGCTCGACGCGTAAAACCCGTAAGCATAGCTTCCCCTCTTCGACAGGACGTAGAAGCTAAGGCGCGATGTGTATGAGGTATGAGGGAGGGTGGGACTTGTTGGTGTCCTGCTGCGCAGCAGGTTCGGTACGCACGTGTATTTCATGTGACGGAGAAAGAGGGCGAATAACCTCACGCGGCGGGAGGGCCAAAAGACGGACCACACTCCTTGCCCTTGCCTGTCAACACGAGCAATATTCTTCTCGGCGTACCGTCGCTGCTTTCCACGGCACGGGGCAAACCATATCATCGCGGGTATGCCTTGAGTAAAAACCTAGCACCTCGGTCGCGTGCGTGCGTGTGTTTTCCAACTAATATTAGCATCGACCGCACTACTGTAACCGGCTGACCGATGAAAAAGGTGTGCGTGTTCCAAATTAGCATCGCCCGCGCTAACCGGCTGACCAATGAAAAGTAGTCCCAGTACAACGCAGTGCGACAGCAGCAGCAGTTTCCCGTCAACTTTTTCTCTGTCTTCCTTCCACCACTCTACTCACTCCTGAAGCTTCTTGGCGTACTCCTTGCTCTCCCTACCCTCCGCTGCGAAGGACCGGACCGTGCTCATGCTGCCGAGGCTCTCTTCCGCGACTGACCCCGCTTCCGCCAGCTTGTCCTGTGGAGGCGACCACGGGCGCGAAACGACACGAGAGAGAACGATGTGAAGTGTGACGGTTTCAGGGTGAAACGACACGAGAGATAATGACGACGTGACGGTTTCACGGTGAAACGACACGAGAGAGATGATGACGTGATGGTTTCAGGGTGAAATGACACGAGAGAGGATGATGACGTGACGGTTTCCGGATGAAATGACACCAGAGTGGCGACGTGACGGTTTCAGGGAAAATAAAAGGGTGCCGATTCTCCGATCTACCGGTCCTTCACGGCCAGCCACGCACAACGGCGACCAATAACATAATCCATTTACCGGAAAGAGGGCTAAACGACAGCTAAAGGCATCGTGACCTCTTTCTGCACTTCGCTTCTCTCGACCAACTGCTGCTGTATTCCGTGTTGATGGGGAAACCCGCTCGTCAAGACTGGGTTTCAAGCGTTCATCGGTGGAAAAAGGTTGCTCATCACTGGAGAACCATGCGCTGGCCCGCCATGATCGAGCCCCTCATCTGGTCGTTGTCAAATGAATGGTTTTGAGCTGCTCACGTTCAGGGGCACTAGACTCTCCCCTGATGCAAGGTTATTCGTACTGCATCGACATCGCTGACGCCTATGAAGGCCGCCTTTCGCGTCAGAGAAGCGGCCATATTGACGTGTGGCCTAGGGGCAGTCGGCGAAAACTGCACGAGTTTGCCAAAAAAAAAACAATTTGCTACAATAAAAAACGTGTTGCAAGCACGATTTCTTTTCCTACTGCTGTAATAATTCCTTGTCCCAAAACCTGCGCACCTGTGACAACTTCGAGAGCTTCCTGATGTATTCACCGTACCACTTGGACACGATGACGATGGCGGGCACGGAGATGAAGGCCACGAGGGACAGTCTCCAGGACAAGTAAAACATGAATAGGAGCGTCACCACGACCATCACCAAGTTCCTGTTCGGGTTGTAAACGGGAAATTTGGTTAAAGGTAGATACATCCGAAGGCGTAGATAAAAAAAGAAACCACGCAAAAGACGACAACCAGGACAGTAAAAGACACGTCTTACGTGTGTGGTGGATCAGGGGTTAGCCAGGGCGCAGCTATGCACAATACGCTTGAATCTGTTCTACAAGCGCTGTCGAACATGGCTCTCACCAAGTTATTGAAGAAACCGAAAACATGACAAAAATAGCGAGCAATACAGCGGCCGGTGTTGTGCCGACGATTGGCACAAGAGACACGGGTGCCGGCCGACACAGGAACAACCGATAGCAGCAGCAGTGCAGCCGGCATGGCCATGGATTCAATAGAAACACGCAGTTAGCCGTGACGGTAAAATGATTATTAGCATGGTCAGGCACAGCCTGCTGGATAGCCTGTGTCGCAGGCTCTCGACCGTCGCCGCCACGATATCTTCGTCGATAGCCGGCACTGTCACCGCTACCGCTACCGCTACCGCCACCGCCGCGCTTGTTGGAGGCACAATCTCATGGATCAAACACTCATAACGCGGCTGCGCACCAACCCGCGGGAGGCACCGACGTCGCGCTAAACAAACTTATCTCAGATAGAAAAACCTTTCGCCCACAACATTATTATTGATCGAGCTGCAAAAGAGCATACAGCAGTACCATTAGCCGCGGGCAACATCTCCCAGTTCAACGCTCGTCCACAAAAGAAAACAAGCAGACGAGCTTCTCGATACAACGATTGTCCACAAGCAGAGCAAGGTACTATACGCAACCACCTGGCACGGTGTACCGCCGTACCTCAAGAAGACGTTGACGTTGAGCGTGACCTGGTCCCCGACCTTGGTGCAGTCGGACGCGAGTCGGCTGGTGAGGTCGCCCGTCTTGGTGGTGTCGAAGAAGCCGATCTCCTGCCGGACCAGGGACTCGAACAGTCGTCGCCGCACCCGCACGTTCACCCTCGCCCCGACGACAGAGAAGATGCAACCCCTGAGGGGGGGGGGTCAGGGTCCGTCACGAAGGGTCAGTCACGAAGGGAGGTTGAAAGAATTAGAAATGGAGACGACGGAAGTGGGGTCGACAAGCCTGGATTTAGCTACTTAATTTAGAAGGGTAGGCAAATAGATAGAAGTAGGTGGAATATACATACATAGATCGATAGATAGATAAACAGAAAGATATCTAGAAAGATAGAAGTAGATGGGTATATACCTGGAACTTACCACTGATCATTTTTCTAACTTTCTTCCGTTCAACCATTATAGATTTTCCGCGTGGGGCGCTGACAGAGCAGCATTTCACTTTTTTCGGGCTCAGACAGGCCGCCATTTCTCCAGAACTTTTCACTTGGAGGATAGACTGCATTATTTGATTCTCCGCGCGGCTCTCTCTTTGTCGGGGCTTCTTATGCTCTTCCCTCCCTCTCGTGCCCTGCGCGCGCACACACATGTCGCTCCACAGCCAGCTGCTCTCTCGCCTGCCACTCCATCACTCACTTCGTCGTCCGTTCGCTCGCGTGTATTTCACGCAGTGCTTTCTTTCCCACAGAGCAGTACACAGCAGGTAAATCGTGCTTTTCAACTCTCTCTCTCTCTCTCTCTCTCTCTCTCTCTCTCTCTCTCTCTCTCACACACATACACTTAAGACTACGATGAAGTGCAATATCGACGCACACACACACCACTCTCTCGCTCAGCTCACGCGCTGCGTCGGTACTTGTGGTGGCGTACTGCCTGTATGCACATGTACATCCAACATGTGGCCTTTCCGGCTCAGGTGCTGATGCCCCTTTCATCCTTTCATTCCGTGGCCCTTTAGTCTGGTCTACATAATGCTCAAAATTTGTGCCGAAACTCCTTGAACTAATATTGGTCTTTCTGGGTGTGTTTTTACCGCCGCACATGTATGTGCAACAATGGACAGTGCTTTCATACGCATCGTGAGGTAACGGGGGTGTCATGCATGTTCTTGTGTAAGCAGAGTGTACATCAGTAGTGTAGTACCGGATAAATGCACATGCATGTGGGATTTCCAGCAACATGCAGTGGGTGCTCTGGCCTTTCATCCTTTCAAGTTGGCATTTGTTTTACCCCGCAAGATGATAGAGTCTGCAACCAAACCGTTGTAGTTTAGACCTCGAAAGTAATTAATGTTGCTTCCTTTGCTTTTCCACGCACTCCAGTACTCTTTCTTTGGGAGAGTGTGGTGCGGTGCTTTCACACCCACCGCGAGGTAGGGTGGTCGTTCAAGTGACACGAAATGCAGACTAATGGGTGGACGGGTGATGATACGATAAGCCTTCGGGAAGTGTGTTTGAGTGGTTTATTTTCTTTCAGCGGCCCATCCAACATCTAATATCTCCAAATTGATTCCGTTTTTTGTTTCCCGCTGTAACTTGCCGATGTCTGGTGATAGACTACTACAATACACCAACTAGTGAGTACGTCTTGTTTGTCCTGTCCGACCTTTCTCATCTACGCTTTGTTGCAAGGTGAATGATATTTGTACGAGTCGGTCGGGTACTACAGCAATGGTACTCCGGGCATTTACTTCTCAACACGAAAGATTAGAGCATCCAATCCGCGCTTTCCAGAACCATAATTGTGTCGGTACATGAAATTTCGAAATTCAACGACACACCATATCAACCCAATGCACAATAACGCTCGCCAGACCACCAACAACCCGTTATACACGCCAAGAAGTGTGCGCGTGTCCAAATCGTGGACTCCATGCGGACGCACCCCTTCGCACTCCTTCGGTGTCGCAAAAGACTACCGTGCGGAAGCAAGAGCAGTGACAATTAGACCAACAAGACGGCCATCCAACAACGCCTGTAACAAGCGTCTTGCGGAACGCTTCTCTCTGCGTGTCTGCGCAAGCCACCAAAAAGCTTGTATGTAGATGGAAAGATATATAGGTGGGTACCTAAATAGATAGGATAGATGGATGTAGATGTTACAGAGATCCCTCGGAGTGGACTCATGCGAGCAAAGCAGCGTCATCAAGCGTGGATGCAAGATGAAAAGTAAAAGCAGGTAGCAGGACCAACCCACGCCTGGCTACCACCTGGTGTGCCAAGTTTTCCAGGCTCCAGAGCTCTTGTACAACGGGCGTGATTTTGACTCTGAATATTCCAACGAACCTAAAAATCTACAAGAGAAAGAGGGGGACGAGAGATACAGAAGAGGAGAGAGAGAGAGAGAGAGAGAGAGAGAGAGAGAGAGAGAGAGAGAGAGAGAGAGAGAGAGAGAGAGAGAACCGTACGCCAGAAAATACGAAGCTGGCATGCACGCCGAATGCTCACGTCCAATTTCCGCAGAGGATAACCTCGACTACAGCATTACGTCCGGCTACAACACCGAGGGGCCGTACGGCATCGATCGATGCCTGGACTGCTGCCCTCTTGGGTGCATCACGCCATGGCGACCGCCCTGCCTACGGTTTCTACGGTTCCGCAACGCTGCTGCTCTGGTCCGGCTGACCTTATCCCCGAGAATATGGCGCAGGAGACCGCGGCAAGCACCAGGTACACGGTAGACCTTCGGAACTCGCTGTCCCCGCCCCCCTCTACAACGTTGTCGATCATGTTGCCGGTGAAGTGTGGCACCAGCACCTGAAAAACACAGACACAAACAGGTGGGTGGTGGAACACCACATGCACGCGTGTCGCGGCGCGGGTGAAACAAACGCTTGAGGCTACGTGTACCGGTCGACGGGTATCGGTCGTATGCCACTTCACGTTTGGGCGGCAAGAAACTGGAGACGATTTGCGGAGAATCACACGCCTGACGACGTCACGCCGCCAGATGGCGGCATTTCAATAGCTGCGTGCGCTCGGTCCGGTTTCGTGGGGGGGGGGGGGGGGGTACTTTTATGTTTCGCATGCCTTAGCGGTTGGACCATTGACCAGGCGTCCTCGAGAGGACGGAGCGTTGTCCCCACAGGACCAATCACTGATGGTCAATCGTTCCTTCCTACTGTGCCAAAGCTGGCTCAAAGATGTGTCTTCCCTAGTCTATCCATCCTACCAATATCACTTCGCCGCCGTTTCAACCCACTTCCTATGCCCCAGTACAGCTAACGTCTTCTCCTGGCTATCCCATGCCTCAAACAACGCCCGGTACCTTCCTTCTACTTTTCCCAGCTCAGTCATGTACCCTTCCCTCTCCCCCTTGTACAACCGGCATTCCGCAACTACATCAACCCGGTCTTCGCACTCGGAGTCGCCATCACATTTGAACTTGCCGTCATAATCGCCTACCTTCCTATATCTTCGGCTACGTTCTCGGAGGCCAATGTCCCCGGTCCTGAATTTGACTAAGCTGTGTCCCTGCATCCATTGGTCAATGTAGGTACTATTATATTTGAACCCTATTCCTTCATTCAACATTCCGTACACTTCTAGGCCCTCCTTATCCTTGGTGTCTTTGGTTAGATTCTGTTGTTCTTCTCTCTCGGCAAAAGCAACAGATATCTTCTCCTTGAAACCCCTTAAGACCCTCCGTTTCCAGCGTTTCACCTTCGTCGATTTCGAGCCCCTTCCATACGTCACCTACAACCTTGACCCACTCCGTGACCTGTCTACCCCTCTTCTTGTTTGCCCACTTCGCTTCCCAAGCTATTCTCGGCAACCTCTCCTCTCCCATACCGCACATGCGATACTGCCATGCCAACTTCCTTGCGTCTCGAGGGGGGGGGGTGTCATAGTCGTGCATGCCGTAGTCATTAAACCATTGACCTTGCATCCCTACAAGCCGGGACGGAGCACACCGGTTTCTCACCGGACTAGGCTCTCACATCACCAAGCGCTAAGCGCCGTGAGGTATTCGGCGAGTCGCATGAAGGGTGCGCTGCATCCTGCTAAGGGTGTTCAGTGTTCAGCATCTTGTGCTTACTTCCTTGCGTACGGATGACAGCTGCGTATGACTTCATTCATTTTTTGGTGCTTTCACTTCCAGAGACAGTTATAAGCACTGTGTAACTGCCTCGAGGGTGCTTGACCAATTTAACACAACGTGGTGCGATCATCCCCCGTTGCGCGGAGTGAAGGTTCTCCA